CCCTAGTACGCGTTTGGCACCTTTGTAAAAATAAGTTGGCTGTAAATACGTGGATTTATTTCTGAGTTATCTATGAAGTTTTTTTAATGTCAGTAACATGCTTTTTTTTGTTTCCACAGCTTTGTAGTATATTTTAAAATCTGGTATTGTAATTCTTTCACTTTTCTTCTTTGTGTTCAGGATTGCTTTAGTTATTTGAGAATTTTATTTTTGGTTCTGTATGAATTTTAGGAATGTTTTTCTATTTCTGTGAAGAATGTCATTGGCGCTTTGATAGAAAATGCATTGAGTCTGTATATTTCTTTGGACAGTATGGACAATTTAACAATATTAATTCTTTGAATCCGTAAACACAGAGAATATTTTTCTTTTTTTTGTGTGTGTCCTCTTCAATTTCTTTCATCAGTCTTGTATGGTTTTCATTATAGAGATTTTTCGCATGCATAGCTGACTAGTTCTAGGTACTTTTTCATTAGCTATTGCAAATAAAAATTTTAAAACTTCTTTTCAGATAATTTACTATTTGGCATACAAAAAGGCTACTGATTTTTGCATATTCATTTTGTATCCTGCAACTTTCCTGAATTTATTGAACAGATCTGACTTTTGGGTGGAGATTTTAGGTTTTTCTATACATAACATCATGTTGTCTACAATTAAGGAAATTTGATTACCTCCTTTTCAATTTGGGTGACTTTGTTTCTTTGGTATAATTGCTCTAGCTAGGACTTCAAGTACTATGTTGAATAAAAGTGGGCGCCTTGTGTTAGAGAAGAGTTTTAAACTTTTCCCTGTTCATTATGATATTTGAGATCTGATTTAAAGATGGATTTCTCCGAGAGATTTGTTTGTGCTTCAGCCAGTCTCCCTGAAGGACAGGATGAATCTGAGATAACTTAAATTACTTTAAAGATTTTTGGGTGCCCAAGAAACCATTATTTCCTTCTGGAAAACTGCATTTATAGTTTCAAATTCTCTCTAGAAGTAATTCCTTCCTCAACTCAGTGCAGAAACTTGATCATCATTTTTCTTTGAATTCCCCTTATAGCAGAATTCCTTGCTCCTAGTGTACTCTTGCATTGATGATTCCTTGCTTTATGGGGAGGAAGATCTCTACCGACACTTTCCAATCTGTCTGTGTCAGGGTTTGTTCATTTCCTGTACTCTACAGACCTTGGAAACTGAAATGTAGGCTCATTTACATCAGCTCATTCCTGGTTAAAGCTGACTCTGTTTAACTCCTGAGCTCCTGTCTCTATCCAAATTCTGGCCTGAGAACATTTCATTTCCTTCCCAAGTCGTCAATATTTACAAGAACATGAGTTTTATATTTTCTTATTCTTTATAGCTTTTCACAGTGGGAGGCATGACCCACATATGTAACTCACCATAGAGCTAGAAAAATAAGTCATATTGAATTTTGCAGGTGCCATTTCACTGTTTTCTTGATAGAGTACATGATGAAGTAAGTGAATCTCAGGGGTATAAAACTCTTAAAAGACTATGTATAGAATCTCAGGGGTACAGAACTCTTAAAAGACTATGTATAACTAATTGATATAATATGATATAATTTGAATCTTAAATGTCCCCCAAAGATTCATGTTTTGATGGCTTGTTCCCCAGGCAATGGCACTATTGGGAAGTGTGGCACCTTTGGGTGGTGAAGCACAGTGGAAGGAAGTTAGGTCACTGGGGTGGGGGTGCCTTTAAGGGGATTTTGAGATTTCAGCTTCTCCCTCCCTCCCTCCCTCCCTCCCTCCCTCCCTTCTCTCCTTCCTTCTTTCCTTCCTTCCCCCTCTCTCTTTCTTTCTTCTACCTGACCATCATGAAATAAACAGGTCTCCTCTTTTTTGCTCTCCTGCCATGATGTACTGCGCCACCAATAGTCCATGGACTGAAACCTCCGAAACTGTGAGCCAAAATAAAGCTTTCCTCCTTATAAATTGTTCATCTCAGCTATTTGGTCATAGTCCTGGAAAGCTAACTAACATGATTCTTGGTTGGTAGGAAAGATAAATCCATATTCAGGACACATTTAAATTCCAAGCCCCTTCTATGGTAGTAGGCATCCAAACAATCAACCTTGCACCAAGGTTGTTGTATTCCGGGATCAGCACTGGTCTCTACAATTAGCTGGTAAAGCATTTGGCAATGGCAGCATCCAGACCAGCCTTGGTGAGGGATCACCCATCTCGTGCTCCATTCCTGATGTCATCCCTGTGTGGCTCAGCAGGGCAAAGACAAAAAGATACTCTGTCTTTTAAATAAAATCAGCAGATATAATCCATTACTACATTTTCTCAAGATAGACCAGAACTTGTCTTCATGGGAAAGGACTTGATAGCATGAATTGTTTAACATTCTTTCATCCTAAGTTTACCTGGTAATTAGGGTGGCCATCTGTTTTGGTTAGTTGCATTTAAACATTGACTCTCCACAACAAGCAACAGTTATAGTTAAGACAAAGAAAGCACTTAAGCTAACCTCCCATGGAAGATAGGGCCCTATCTTCTTTGGATGTTTACATTTCAAACAAGTGGCTCCCAGAGTCTTAAGAAAAACATTCCTGAGTTCTAATGCTGGCAAGAGGCTTATTAGCTTGTTAAAAGATTCATGTATATATTGAAGGACAGAGGAAGAATTTACAGATATAAGTTCTAAGAAAAAGCGGGGGGGGGGGGAATGTTCCTTTCTCTTAGACAACAGGGAAAACTTAATCTTATTTTTTTTTACCCCTACACTGAGATGAGACCTACTGATAACCAGATAAGGGGTCTATTGCCACTTGATTATTGAGAGCACTTCTGCAGTGATCCTTCACTGGGAGCAAATTGTTCTCACATTCTTGGTGCAATAGCTCTTTGTTATCAGTCCTAAAATCTGGCTCCTTCCAAGTCATCTGCTGGATGGATAGCTACTACCTATGAATCAGTATAGGTACATATATCTATAAATCTAGCCTTCCAGGCAAACACTAATTGAAGTAATACTCAATATGAAGGCTTCTCTACCTTGCTGCCCTGCAGGGTCATCGTTCCATAAAGATGTCACTTGGTAGCTTCTCCTAGCCAATGCTCACTCGTGGAGAATCATCTGTAAACTCAGACCCATCATTCTCTACAGTCATTATTCAATGAACCACAGGTTTAAGGGTTCAGTCCCACAAGTGGGGCACTCTTGAGAAATGTGTCAGAAAAATTGGGTGCTCAGAGAACCCGCACTTCTTTCCATCTTGGCTACAAAGTCAGGTTCCCACACTCTCTTCCTCACTTTGTGCTTGATAATTTGCTAGAATGATCCACAGGACCCAAGAAAACACTTCCCTTACTATTATCAATGCTTTATAAAAGATACAACCCAGGAATAGCTAAATGGGAGGGGTGCGTAGGGCAAGGTATGGGAGAAGGGGATATGTGGAACTTCCAAGTCCTATTTGGGGGTGTCAACCTTCCAGCATCTCTATGTGTTCACCAACACAGAGGTTCTCCACGCCCCATCATTTAGGAGTTTTATGCAAGTTTCATTCTGTAGGCATGATTGATTAAATCATCTGTCACTGGGGATTGGCTCCATCCTCAGAGATCTAGAGAGTAGGCTCAAATTTCCAACCTTCTTTGACAATTAAAAACAACTAAGTTAAACAACTAAGAAGTTCCACTCCATGGACTTTCCTGGTGAACTGACTAGCCTCCGTCCTTGAGCTGTGTGTATTTTATTAACACACAAAAGCAGTCTCATTTCTCCAGGGATGAACCTGGGACCTGGAATGAAGGAAGATACAATATAGAAGTCCTCTTTAAGAGCACTTTTGCTTTCCAAGATTTTGGTTATTCTTGGTTAAACTTGGGACAAAAAAATATTAAGAGGAAAATGATACAGGATCACTAGAGGCAGATGATTCTCTCTCCTTCTGCCCCTCCTCAAACCCTTTCTCTTTCTCAGTGCTAGATGTGGCGCCCAGGACTTTGCATATTCAAGGCAAGCACTCTAAGCTACACATCTAGCCTGAACTTTTCTATCTTGATCACTGAACCAGCTCTGATAGTAGCTTAACTTAGCTCACAATGCCTATGTGATTCACCTCACTTCATCTCATCATGCATGCATTGTACCATCTCGTGTCATCCCAAGAAGGGTGAGTAGAGTATAACAAGCTAGAGAAAGAAAGGAATCACCTTCACATAACCTTTATTACATTATAATGTAAAATTTTGTTATTGTCTTATTGTTTTTATCTCTTACTGTACCTAATTTACAAATTAAACTTTATCACAGCGTGCACATATAGAGAAAAACATAGTATATATGGGGTTTGATACTGAGATTTAGGACATCCACTAGAGTTCTTGGAATGTATCTCCTGCGGGTAAAGGAGGACTGCTGTAGTATTCTGTGTGTGCTCTGTGTGTATTCTGTGTGAGCAGATGGTGTGACCTGGTTAGAAAGAACAGAAGCAAATAAAATGGACAGAGTACTCACCCAAGATACCACAGTCTATTCTCGAAGAAAGTCTCAAATCGATAACTTTAAATAGAGGGATTGAGAGAGCCTCAAGTGACTTCAAGAAGGGTCTAGTCAGACTGTTTGAAAAGGAAAGTTATTTATTCAATGCTTGTGACCCCATCTCCAGGACGAGAAGCGGGAAAGACCCACTGAGTTCAGTAGGAAGCAGGCGCCAGCTCTGGAAAGGAGGAACGAGTTCTGCTTTTCCCGGGGTGAGGCCAGGCTTGTGCCCCAGAAGGCCACCTGGGCTAGCAAGGGCTGTGGCTGGAATCTGTCACTTGGGCTCCACTCAGACACGTAAGGGTCGCTGTCTCTTGAGGGTCCGGGGCGGGTCCTGGATCACTAGTCAATCAGGGCCTCTGGGGCGGGGCTGTACGAACTGTCCAATCAGGAGCGCCGGCAAGAGGCTGGGGAGACGGCCTGAACCTTGGGGATCGTTTATGCGCAGCCGCAGTAGGGGTCTGGCCACCGCTCCCGGGAGAGGCGCCTAGCGGCTCAGCCTTTGTTACGCTGTGACCTCCGCTGACCTCAGGAGCAGTCGGCAGGACGCCGCGAGTCCTCGGAAGCAGAGAAATGGTGAGTGTGGGAGGCGGAGGGGGAAGGAGGGGCCGGCTGGACCGCGGAACCCGCAGCGGGGACCCGTGTTCTCCGCCTCTGCTCGGGAGGCCGACCGCGGCTGGCGCCGCTGGGCTCTCGGTCCCTCCGCCCCGTGGGGGCTGGGCCGGCAGCCGGGACCCTCTCTGGCGGGAGGCGTGGGGTGTGTGTGTGTGTGCGCGCGCGCGCGTGCGTGTGTGTAGGGCTCCCGCAGAGGAGCTGTGGTGTGTGGGGTCCCCGTGCCTGTCTCCCCTGGGAGGATCTGGGGTGTGTGTGTGTCCTGCAGAGGAGCTGTGGTGTGTGGGGTCCCTGTGCCTGTCTCCCCTGGGAGGATCTGGGGTGTGTGTGTGTGTGTGTCCTGCAGAGGAGCTGTGGTGTGTGGGGTCCCTGTGCCTGTCTCCCCTGGGAGGATCTGGGGTGTGTGTGAGTGTGTGTGTGTGTGTGTGTGTGTGTGTGCAGGTGTGTGCAGGGCTCCTGCAGAGGAGCTGTGGTATGTGGGGTCTCCGTGCCTGTCTCCCCTGGGAGGATCTGGGGTGTGTGTGTGAGTGTGTGTATGTGTGTGTGTGGGGGGGGGCTCCTGCAGAGGAGCTGTGGTATGTGGGGTCCCCCTCCCTCCTTTCTCCCCAGAGAGGATCTGATTCCCCCTGAATTTTCTAAATATCTGGAAGCAAGGCCTCAAATCCACGACCCTGTCTTCTCAGCATAGCTCTTCCTAGGTTTCTCAGTCCATTTTTAGTTGCTCATAACTCAACACCACAGTCTGGGTAATTTATAAAGAAAAGCTTATTTTTAGTTCATGGTTCTAGTCCAAAGTTGAGAGGTGCCATCTGGTTGTTTGTTGGCAGAGCTAGAATAGGCACAGGGCATCACATGTCCAGAGAAAGGAAGTGCCAGAGAGACTTAGCCAAACTGGCTAAGTTTAAAATAACCCATTAATCCATTAATCCATGGATGCATTAATCCATTCATGAGGGTAGGGCTTACTCACCTCTTAAAGGTCCTGCTTGTTGATATCTCATAACGGAGCAGATGGATGCCCATGGCAGGGAGGAGTCTCTTGATATACCCTCATTTATGTGGTTAAGCCTTTTTTTTTCCCTAACCAGGTCTTTATTCCTTGAAAACATATTGGTTAGCCCACTTATCAGATGTTGGTGCTGAGGGGACAAGATAGAAATAATTCCTGCCCCCTGGATTCCTTGTGAAGGGATAAAACTATCCCAAAGGACTAGGAAAACCCACCCCAATAAGGTGGTGCCATTTCCTTTCCTTTCCTGAAAGGGAAAATGCACTTTGGGCACACAGCAGGGAAGTCTGTTATCCCTTGGAGGGTGGATATTGAGCATGTCAGCAGGATGGGAGGTGAGGGGAAATGTCCTGTGTGGTAGGCTGGATCGATTGAGCACCAGCACTGACACTCCCTAGCCTTGTCATTTAGGAAAGATTTACTTCTTTGAGCCTCAGTTTTTCAGTGGAACTTGAGTGATAAGACAGAATATATCATGGGGCTGGGGATGTGGCTTGGGGCTGGGGATGTGGCTCAAGCGGTAGCATGCTCGCCTGGCATGCATGCGGCCCGGGTTCGATCCTCAGCACCACATACAAACAAAGATGTTGTGTCCTCCGAAAACTAAAAAATAAATATTAAAAAAATTAAAAAAAAAAAAAAAAAAAAGACAGAATATATCCAAAGAAGCAAGAAAGAGGTGATTTCAGAAAAAAAAAATAAATATCTAGCCTTATCCTTTCTTTTAAAAATTTTTATTAACCTTTGTTCTTCTCCATATTGTGTGTAGTACATTTCCCAGATCTGGTCTTATCTTTTGGTTGACTTCAAATGGGATAATAACACTTAGCCTTGAGAATGCTGCTAGGGATGAGAATCTCAGAGCATAGGGAAAAATCACTGTTCCACAGTGGCTGCAGAGAAATAAAGACAATTCCACCAGAAGGTATGGTAGGTAGATTAGTGGATGACAAGGACTCACCAAAACTTGAGTTTGTCTCCATTCCTGGGTGAGGAGCTTGGGACAGTGGACAATGAACACTGTTATCTTTTCTGGTACTTAGACTTAAGAGGCAACATCCAGAAATATTCAAATATAATTAATGCTAGCTAATTTGTTGCCATGGAAATGATAATTAAGTTACATTGTAATTGTCTAAAGGGATAGACACTTGTGCTTTTGCAGTTGAGCTATGATGGATAAGTGCCTTAGAATTCTTTACCTCCTATATATATAAACAAAGCCTAAGTGATTTTAATAGATTCCTCAAACACTGGGTATTTTCTCCCTTAAAAGTAAGTGAATAGTGTTGGTCAAGGAGGAGTTCCATGCCCGGTGACTTCATGTTAAGGCCAATGTTGAGTCTGCAAATGGAAGTCAGGGAAGGCCCAGTTGTTTATTCCTAGGAACCTGCCTTGCTGGTGTGTGACAATGCAGAGCCCTTGGTACTGAGAGAAACTGAAAAAACAAAATAATCCCCACTGTTATGTTTAACTATAGTGCACTCATAAAAACATTTTTTAAAAAAGTCATCTACCATTTTAAAAAAGATACGTGGGTATCTTTCTAGGCTCTCTGTCATATTCCATTGGTCTAGATCTCTGTCTTTATACCGTCCGTCACCACATTGTTTTGATTACTCTACCACTGAATAAGAATTTGAGGATTTCAGCACCAATATTCATTCATAAGGGACAGTTGACCGTAGTTTTGTTGTTGTTGCTGTTGTTAGCCTAATTTTGGTCTTGTATGATAAATTTGGAAATGCTATCCTTCAGGGTTTTTGGATAACATTTCTTCCTTAAATGTTTGGTAGATTTTCCAGTGAAACTGTTTGGTTCCAGACTTTCATTTGTTGGGGACAGGGTTGAGGTTGATTACTTTATCAGCCTCCTTATTAGTTGTAGGTCTACACATATTTTGTAGTTTTTCATGACCCAGTCTCAGTAGATGGTGTGTTTCTAGACATTTTTACGCTCCATTCAGGTTACCCTATTTGTTGGTGTGCCCCTGAGACTTCTTAAATAAGGTATGAAGCATGCAGTTCTATCAGTTTTATTCTACAGTTGTTACACAGGAGCCTCATTCATGTCATGGTAAACTGTAGGGGAAGGCAGAACATTGCACTGATGTATTTTGACCTCATTTTTTAGGATGCTTGTGTTCCTGGGTTGTGACTACCGTAAGTACTCTTCATCCTTATGCCTTAGTTGAGCAGGAAGGTTACAGAGGGGTGGAGCTGGGTGTTACACTTCCCCAGAGGTTTGGCTCTTACTGTGATTTGGATGTAGTTTGAGTGTCCCTCAAGGCTTCATGTGTTGAAATTTAACCCCTACCCTTAGGAATTAAGAGGATAGACACTTAACCTCACTGTAGTATTTAGAGGTGATTAGGTAATCAGAGTGGAGCCCCCATGATTGAATCCTTTTGGTTTTATCACCAGAGGGAGAGAAACCAGAACATAAACACACACACACACACACACACACACACACACCCCTACATCTTGTCTTTTGCCATGTGATGCTCTGCACTGTCTCAAGACTCTGCTTGCAAGAAGGCCATCATCAGATGTAGGCTCTTGACTTTGTATCCTCAGAACTTTGAGCCAAAAGAAGCTGCTGCTTTTTTTTTTTTTTTTAATAAAGTAGCCTGCCTTAGTAACATAAAGCTCTGGTAACATCCCTGTTGATAAGGCCTTTGATAAATTGTTTTGAAGACTGGACTTAAGAACACATGTCTGTGGGCATATTTCAAAATGACTACTTTTATTTTCTTCCTGCTCAAAGCAGGAAACAGTTTTTAATCTGACCATCACAATGAGAACTGTAGTGTTTCTGGAGGTAAAACTCATAAATGAAGGGGGACTTCCTAAGAATGGGCCCCACTCTACTTTTTACCTCTCAAACTTGTGCCCATTCAATTCAGACTTCAGCAATTCATCAATATGGTTTAGTTCACATTTTCTTTTGTTCTTGTTCTTTTCTTGTTCTCCCTCCCCATCCTCTTATATATATTTTTTATCCTCTATAATGCTTCACAGAGGTTTCTGCATACAGGTTTTTATTCCCATAAGTTATGATTCTTTATTAGATTGGTGGGGTCTTTCCCAAAATCTAGATTCTGAATGCTATCAAAGGTCAATACCAGAAGAATGTATGTATGATGTATCAAAATGCATTCTACTGTCATATGACTAATTAGAACAAATAAAAAGGTCGAATATTGAAAGAGACTGTTCTAAGGATATGCAGTCTCAGGACTGCTAATGGTAGGCCCTTCAGTACACCAACACTTTGCTATGACAGGGACTGTAGGTCTTCTGTTCAAAGAGACATTAACGGTGAACTAAGCTGCACATCTTACTCTATAAACTCATCAATAAGAGGTGTGTTCCTGTTCAGCCATTGCTTTATGCATAGTTCAAGTCTATCACCACAATTGCTGTGTTGGAGGATGTGAGAGTGAATAAAGGGTAAATCTGATTACCAAGTCATAGAATAAATATTTTGAGTCCACAGCATTATGTGAACCTATTATGATTTCAGTGTAGATCAACAGTGTTGAGTCTTACCCTTCCTATATTAAACATGTGGGATATTTTAGGACTTAATGACCTTTGAGGATGTAGCAGTGAACTTCACCCTGGAGGAGTGGGCTTTGCTGGATCATTCCCAAAAGGATCTTTACAGAGAAGTGATGCTAGAAACCTTCAGGAACCTGACCTCTGTAGGTAAGGGTGATGTCTTTTCCTCACTTAATCAATTAGAGAACAAGTATTTTTTGCTCATCAATGCTCCTTGGTGATTTGGAATGTAGAAAAAAATTATGTTGCTGAACAAGTCAAGCATGGTCACAGAGTATCATGAATAGAGACTAATAATTTTTTTATAAAGTTGTAATGACAACATTATAAACAACATTTTTATAATGTTTTTATAATATTGTAATAACAATTATTTCCCTTTTTTTTTCCTTTTGATTGATTGACTGATTTTCGAGATGGGGTATTTTATGTTGCCCAGGCTGGTCTTGAACTCCTGAGTTCATGTGATTCTCCCAACTCGGCATCTTGAGTAACTGGGGCTACAAGCATTCACTACCATGTCCAACTCATAATGATTTTTCTGTGTCTGTATTTTAGGAATACAATGGGAAGACCAGAACATTGACAATGAATACAAAAATTGTAGAAGAAATCTAAGGTAATTTGTGGGCTGCGGATGTGGCTTAAGCGGTAGTGTGCTTGCCTGGCATGCGCACAGCGCTGGGTTCAATCCTCAGCACCACATACAAATAAAGATGTTGTGTCTGCCAAAAAATAAATATTAAAAAATTCTCTCTCTCTCTCTCTCTCTCTCTCTTTAAAAAAAAAGAAAGAAATCTAAGGTAATTTGTACTAGCAAGAGAAAGCAGTGTCCCTGGAGAATCTTAAAATGACAGCAAATTTTAAAAATGAGAAATTAAACTTCAGATTTATTTATTTTTATAAAATTTTTTCTAAAACTTAAATGTGACATACATATGTTTGCAAAATAGTTAACTTGAAAACAGTATTAAGTAATCCAGTGTGGGTGTCACTGTTTTCATAGAAGTTATGGTCTAGCCATTGGCAAAGCGTTCAGTTCATTCATGTTCAGAAGATTGAGGCAGGGCATAAAGCCTATATTTTCACTGATAATGTTAAAAATGTAAATTCAGTATCTGTAAATAAATATAAAATTATTAGTAAACAAACCTTTAGTAATGTGCTTCTCATTTTTTGCAGAAGTCAAGTGATAGAGAGACTATGTGGATATAAAGAAGGTAGTCCATATGAAGAAATCTTCAGCCAGATTTCAGATCACATTGTGAAAAAGAAAACTCCTGCTTTAAAACCATGTGAAAGCCCTGTATGTGGAGAAGTGACCATTGGTCATTCATCCCTTAATGGGCACATCACATCTGATTTTGGACATAGACTATATGAGTATCAGGAAAAATCCTATGAACATGAAGAACATGATGAAATCTTTAACTGGACCAATCTCATTCAAAACTATGAAATAACTCATACTGGGGAGAAACCCTATGAATGTAAGCAACATGCAGAAGCCTGTAGGAGCTCCAGTTATGTTCAGATACATGAAAGAACTCACAATGGATTAAAACTCTATGAATGTAAGCAATGTGGGAAAGCCTTCAGGAGTTCCAGTTATGTTCAGATACATGAAAGAACTCACAATGGAGTGAAACCCTATGAATGTAAGCAATGTGGGAAATCTTTCAGCTGTTCCAGTTACATTCGAATACACGAAAGAACTCACACTGGAGAGAAACCCTATGAATGTAAGCAGTGTGGGAAAATGTTCACTTATCTCCAGAGTGTTAGAAGACACATGATAATGCACAGTGGAGATGGACCATATAAATGTGAGGTATGTGGGAAAACATTTCATTATCCCAGTTTATTTCGTATACATGAAAGAACACACACTGGAGAGAAACCCTATGAATGTAAACAATGTGGTAAAGCCTTTAAGTGTCCCAGTTCTGTTCGAAATCATGAAACAACTCACTCTGGTGAGAAACCCTATGAATGTAAGCAGTGTGGGAAAGCCTTCAGTTGTCCAAGTTACATTCGAATGCATGTAAGAACACATGCTGGAGAGAAACCTTATGAATGTGAGGAATGTGGGAAAATATTCACTTGTCTCAAAAGTGTTCGAAGACACATGATAATACACAGTGGAGAGAGACCTTATAAATGTAAGCAATGTGGGAAAGCCTTCAGTAGTTCCAGTTATGTTAGAATACATGAAAGAACTCACACTGGAGAGAAACCCTATGAATGTAAGCAGTGTGGGAAAGGCTTAAGTAGTTCTAATTCCTTTCGAAGACATGAAAAAATTCATACTGGAGAGAAACCTTATGAATGTAATGAATGTGGGAAAGCCTTCAGGTGTCAAAATTCCTTGTATAAACATGGAAAGACTCATAGCAAAGAATAATTGTACAAGTATAAGACATGTGATAAAGTCTTCTGTTGTTTCAGTCATGAATATGTGAATGAATTTAATACTGTACAGACACCCTGTGGATGTAAGGGATGTTGGAAAATACTCTCTTGTCCCAGTTCCTTTTGTAAGAATGAAAGAACTGATCCTGAGGAGAAATCCTACCTAAGGAATGCAGGAAAGCTGATAATCTCACAGCCTTTCTAGCACACACAAGAATGCATGTGTAGAGAACTACTATGAATGGAGTTTGGAAAAGCTTTTAATCCTCACAGTTCAATTCAAAGCCATGGAAGAACGCACAGGGAAAGAATATGAACGGTATTCAAATGTCTTCAGTTGGCTTACGTCCTAACAGCATGTAAAAATGTACATTGGGGCTGGGGATGTAGCTTAGTGGCAGAGCATTTGCCTAGCATATGTGAAGCCCTAGGTTTGTTCCCCAACACTGAAAAAAATAAACCAACCAAGGAATTTTCAACTTAACAAACATTTCAAAGATTTTGTGGAAACTACCAATGTTTTGAAATTCTATATATCAAAGAAATATAAAATGCTTGATACAAACTAATTTGGGTGTATTGCTCACCAGAAACCACAATTTGAAGGAAATATTATAAAAGCTATACCTTTATTAATAATCTTTATCAGTGACTTTCTCTTAAAGTAGATCTCTCTGCTATGGATTTCAAAATCTTATTCTCACAAAGAAATGTTGAACTGAGATAATTCTGTAAGTACCCTTGAATTAATGAGTTCAATAGGTATTGTTTTTTTCTCTTATGCCAGTTAATAATTTTTTTTCTCATTCATTTTATATATGTAAGTTTGTAAGATTCCTAAATGAATTGAGATGTAGTTCTATTATGCAGTAGATCTGATTTTTTTTATATAGTTTTAAATTATTCTGTGGTTAATGGAACATTGAAAAATTAGTCTTTGTTAATAGTTGAGTGTTTTGTCAGGTATTTTGGTGTTTGTTGAATCAGGGTCTTGTTATATCATTCAGGCTGATCTTCAAACTCTTGGGTTCAAGGGTTCCTCCAGCCTTAGACTTCTGAGTAGCTGGGACTACAGGCATGCACCACTGTGCCCACAATTATTGAGAGTTTTGTCACTGTCCTAAATCGGCAGATTTGGGATATCCCTTTTCTATTATATACTTTCTACCCTTCTTTATTGTGGGGGAAAATTTGGTATAATGAAGTTCATTCTCTTCTCATTGCTAATAAATAATTGGCATTAATTTGTAAATATGTCAAGTTTATTATAAGTTCTGTGTGAATTTAATCTGTTGCCCTTTACTCTGTTATTTTTTCTGTTAGATGGATGATTGACTTTGGGTTAAACAGGAAGGACAATAAAAACCTAGGGTGGGAGAATTTTTCTGGATTGAGTTATGTGTGTGTGAGAAATATTGGGAACTAGTATTTTCCAGATTCCCTGTCCTTTATGGTTCTATGTTAGAATACACTAATAGACTGTGAGGTAGGCGTAAGTCAGGTTTTGCAGACATCATACCTGGAGATAGCCAGATGTGTTAGGTCATAAAGATACCTTCTTCCAGTTCCCTTTCCTGACTTTTTGAATTATCACTCAAGAGTATCCCCCAAACTACCATTGACTATTGCATTTCTATTTTCTCAGTTTTGTAGGTTGCACAGATGTCTCTAGAAGTTCCACGTTACAGGTACATTCACAGTTTGCATTTTCCTGCAAGCCCTGTGTGTACCAGACAGATCAGACTGTCACTGTTGAGAGTATTGTCGGATGGACTGACTCCAAAGTCTATAGATACAGTCTAATCTAATTACATAGACCTTTTATTGCATAGTAAACAACTCTGTTCATATTGGGAATGAGTGTTCCTGATTCTGGTTGACAACTACAAGTGTGCAATCAAAACAACTACATAGGGCTTGTTCTACTAAACAAAATTTCCAGGCATGTTTCTTAGAAATAGTTTATTAACTGTTATCCAGAAATTTACATACTAATAAACCAGGACTTCCTTTTAAATTTAGAAAGGAAAGGGCATTACTGAGGGCTTTCTTTAGAAGTTAGAATACCAAAAGAGAGAATGTTAGAGGTGGAGAAATAAATTGGAAAAGCATTTGGAAGGGAAGAAGGAAGTAGTTCTAACGACATATTTTCAAGGAAATACTTCTGAAACCTTTTGAGTTTTATCTTTTTTTCACCTCATAGTCCAACCCTATGTTGATGCCTCCTTTAGGTCTGGACAATCTTCTAGATCCTTCTCTGTTCCTTGCATGACACCTCTGCAGTGAATCTCTAAAATCCCTTTTTGTGCCTGGACCTTGCCACTGGTCCCTCAAATCCAACCCTTTGTTCTTGGGCACTGTCTCCAGATCCACAAATGAATTCCTGGGACCTGGATCCCTCCATTCCCCACTCCAAGTCACTGATAGCCACCCCAGATCCTCAAGCCCTTTTTCATGTCCTTCAGTTGACCCAAGACACAGAATCCACCTTGAAAGTTTAGATCCCAACCCACGTCATCACATTCTGCCTTGAGATTCAGAACTCTACCTCTGGCCACGCAAGCTCCTCAACTTGCTTCCACTCTCTGTCTTACCAGCTGGCTGTGCAGCCACTGGAGGTGGCCTCCGGTGTAGCCTCCTGCCTATGGGTGATGGGGAAAGAGAAGAGATCCTACTGTAATGAATGGGGTTCCCCTTCTTCTCTCTTGCTTCACTGGCCTACCATTCGAGACATCCTGGGTTCAATCCCCAGTACAAAAATGTGGGAGTAGGAAACAAGCTGGACTGAGAGCTAAGAGTAGCCTGGGGAATGCATGGCTGAGGTCAGGGGTGGGGTGGGTGGGCTGAGCGAAGACTGACGGAGAATCACCCGAAAATGGGATGGAAGTCAGGAAAAGGGGATGGAAGTCAGGCGGCTGGGAGAAGAGGAAGCGTCGGTCCACTTGGAGTTTAGGGCCTGTATGAAAATGAGATTGGTAGAGCTGAGATCAGGGAGAAGGGGTGAGCTGCTAGATGGGCTGGGAGGGATCATGGAGGGGAGGGAGGGTCCCTGGAGCTGGGATGACCCAGAAGGGGTTTGCTTTGGCAAGAAGAATGGGGATGACCTATGGGTAGGCGTAGCTAAGCCAAGAAGGGGCGGGCTTTGGCTGGGGGCGGAGCTGAGCCAGAAGGTGCAGAATGAGGCAGGGAGTGCAGGGCTGAGCGGGTGCCCTAGCACCCACAGCCCCAGCCCTGCTAGCCCAGCAACAGCTGAAATAAACCTAGGACAGCGTTCGACACCACACTCCGAGCACCTGGCTAAACATCGACCAGATAGGATGAGAGCCTTGGAGAGAACGTGACTAGGGAGATTGAGGTCAGGTGGAAGTGAGTGGGTAGGGGATTGGGAGGGACTCAGGGAAAACCAGGTGAGTTGAAGCCTTCAGATGCTCGAGGGTAAAGGTCTGGCAAGGGAACCGAGAAGGAACAGGAGTTGGATCAAGAAAAGTTATCAGGACAAGGAGGAGACAAGGACACAACCTGGGGACCTGTATTGCACAAGTGTTCTGGCCAGGTTGAGGGCAAGGGATTGATAATGAGGAACTTAAAAGGGTGGGTCCAAGGCTTCTAGTCCATACCTCATGCCCTGTTGGGGACACCTGGCAGGTGACTGGAACTGGGGAGAGGCCAAAGATTACAGTGGGAACCAGACATTATAGTATGAAGGTATCACAGGCCAGCTGTGGACACCTGAGTGAAGACAAGGGCAAGTGCTGAGGACGGGTGTAGCTGAGTGAAAACTGGTAAGATAAAGGCCACGTGGGGTGACCTGTGTAGAACCAGGTAAAGGTGTGGTAGGAGGACCCTCATCTGCACAGAGCATCGCCTCACTTACCCCTGGGAGCTGTCTTATCCCCATCCTGTGTGTGAAGGTGTCCAGGTGAGGCACTGCTGCTCCCCATTCCTGTCTCGGTGCACAGGTGGAACACAGAAGAAGAAGAGGTGTGGCTGAGAGGAGGGACGTCCAGGTGACGTGCTGATCCCCATTTACCAAATGAGGATCTGGTGGAGGGGCTAGGCTGGGAGTCTGAGACACCATGATATTAGTACAGTTGTTACCTGAGTGTAGTTTCCTGCAATGGGCTCAGTCTGCCATAGGTTACAGGCAGGTGGGTAGTCTCCCCTGAAGAGAGGTAGGCTGGGGTCTGTCAAGCCAGGGGATTGGCCTCCTTATTCCTTCCTACCTCTTTCCTCCAACACTAATTTTCACCATATGCCTCTGCCACTGTCCAGATTCAATCTTGTCACCTCTCTCCAAGCTCGTGTCCTCTCTGAGATTTACCAGCTAATGTTACCTGTGTAGAAACATCCATCTCTGCATCATGACAAAGCAACTGATGACTTCCCTTCTCAGCCATCACTCCCCCTGGTGAAGGTGACCCCCACCTAAGCTGCACCTTACCTCTGGCCTACTTTCCATTGTACAGCCACCAGCCTGTAGCACACTTCTTTGGCAGCCACAGCATATTAGTTCAATGCACAAAAGCATTGGCTTCACCTATACAAGCCTTCAAGGCAAGGCTGCCCTGAGCTATGTGGACACAGCCCTTGCTGTGGGGTTTGTAAACATTATAGTCATACCCTCCTTATCTATAGATAGCATTCTGTGGTTTCATATACCATGATTACCATGGTCTGAAAATATTAAATGGAAAATTTCAGAAACACTCATAAATTCTAAATTGAGTGCTGTTCTGAGTACCTTGATGAAATCTTGTGCCCTCCTGTGCCATCAATCATTTCACTTCATCTCATCAGGTAGTCATTTTATGATGTCACATCATCACTAGAAGAAGGGTGACTACAGAATAATGTGGCACACTGAGAAAGAGACCACATTATTATGATATTTTTTACAGTGTACTGTTATAATGGTTCTATTTTATTCTTAACTATTGTTAATCTCTTACTGTGCCTAATTCGTAAATGAAACTTTATCATAGGTATGTATGTATAAGAAAAAAAACATATATAGGGTTAAATGCTATCCATTGTTTCAGGCATCCACTGGGGAACATATCGTCTTGGATATGTTTATTGTAGAGGAACACACTGCTCTTGTTAGACTGGCTGGTATCACCAGGATGATGGGGATAGGATAGAAGTTGACCAAGGAGAGAGGCAGGGCTATGCAGTTTGACCAGAAGACACTGAGCACATACATTGCCCAAGAGAAACCACTCTTACACTCCCAGCTCTAAATTGCCCTGATCCTGGGAAGTCTTCCAACTCTCCCATTCTGGGTTCCCCCAGCTCGTGTTCTTCTTACCGTGCCTTCATCTGTGCCTGACTCTTCATTGGATCGAGTCTCTTGAGGGAGGAAAAAAATGTCTGACTCATCTGAAATCTCTCTAAGAGACTGGAAC